ACATGAAGCGCCGAATACCGCCCATTTCAGATAGATTTATGGATTGCAGGTTGCTAAAAGCTCACCCTTGAACACCCTCAACATGTCGATCCAGGCTCTGATGATCAGACTGTCTCGGCGGCTTCGACCGGCTTGGCAGGAATCCCTCGTCAGCCTGACTTGAGTTGGTATCAAATGACCCTCTTTTGACTGAATTATCATCTCACCTGCTTCCGAAGCCATCCCAAATTCAAGACCAACGGCCGCAGGGAGTAAGCAGGTTGGTTGCATAGAGTTGGCGATGTCACCCTTCAAGCCTTGTTGGGCGGAGAATGTCATCTAACCCCCGGCCCCTGTCACAAAAAAGCTTACCTGGACTTGGCTACTCTTGGCCATTCTTGGCTCCCCTCGGCACGAAAATGCCGCTGACATGAACCACTTTTTGAGTCCAGATGACTGCTGTGCCGTAGGCTACTGAACGGCATCGGGCCGCTGTGCTTACTTGGAGGCAAGAAAGATTGAGACAACTCCTTTTCCTTGCAGTTTGGACTAGCAGGCAGACCTATCAAAACGCGTCGCAGCTCGCGTAAAGGAAGAAAGATGCGATTGCCGACTCAGTTGCGGGACATCCGACTCCGGCAAGGATTTCAACCCTGCAGAATGAGCTCCCGTCGCGTGCAGTTCTTCAATCTCCTCGGCTTCAATATCACACGGCCAGGATAGAGCGTTCCTTGCAGGCCCCATACTTAGAAGCTGCAGCCTGCAGCCTAATGCAACTTCCCTGAGCATTTTGGTACCACTGCTGTCAGACCAATTTCCAGTCTACTAGTGCCAAATCTGATGCCGACAACATCAATGAGAGACTCGTACTAGCTGATCATCTGTCGGTGTCTTTCTCTTCCAGTCAATTGTGAATGAGTCCAAGGTCCATATACCGAAGGCTTCGCACATGAGATGAGCCGCAGCACCAATCCCGTGTCTGTCCATTCCTTACCAGCACAGAGCCCGCCGCTCTGAGCAATTTACTTCATCATGGAGAGGCACTCATTGTGGCTTCTGTTCGTTGCACTTAGTTTTCTGCAAACATGTCACTCATTCAACCTTTACCCAGCTATCAACGGCGATAAGCTCGCCAAGTCACTGAACGTCACATCAGACTGCATCGCAGCGCTGTAAGTACTTACGTTGCGCCCGAGACCTCTGATAGATGCATCAGCTCATAAGTGAGATAGAAATCAAACTATTCCAGAATGCGATCAGACGTTACTACAGATGACGATGAACGTAGAGAACTACTGGTGGACCGATGACAACCTCACGGCTGTCTGCGACTCAGGCTGTGCTGAAGCCGTTGGATCGTGGAACTACAACGTCTCTGATCCTTGCTTCGAGCAGTCTTTCACTGCATATGGAAAGCTTGTGCCCATTTGGACAGTCACTGAGCGAGTTGTTGACAATCTCATCTTTGCCTGTTTGCCGTCTCGGTTAGTCTCATTGCCTGAACCCATCTCTGGAAGATCATGCTGATTGTTTAAAGATCCGACAACTACACATACTGTCTCACAGAATCTCAGGAGTGGGTTGGAGCTGATGTGTTGCGGGTCGACTGTGATGCCAATCCCTCAGATCCAACTTGCGGCGGCAACTCCACGGACATCCCCGAGGCGAATGTTCGCCTAGCCAACCTGTACGAAGACGATATTGTGAGTTGGACTTCTGTGATGTCATCGTACGCCTCACTGATATGACATCAAGTTATGTAATGACTGTTTCATAAGTCAGCTTTACACTCGCATCTCGTCCATCTTCGTGCCGGATACCGACTACTCAGAATATCTCGCAGATCAGATTTTTGATATCTCAGACGTTTGCAACAAAACTATTCCCGACTTCACTGTTGCACTGCCTTGGAATTATCAGACTGCATCGACCCTGTCTTCCGTAAACGTGGGGTCTTCAACGAGTGTCGTGGCCACTGCCACCTCCACTGCCGCTGCCACGACCACATGTGTTGGTCAGACTCTTGGCTCTGCCGCTGCATCAAAGAGAGGTAATGCTTTGGACTGGATCAAGAGGTCCACGCCTGGGTTGGAGCCTAGGCAGGCATCATCATGCGATGACTTATCGTCTCAGTATGGCGTCAGCACTGGCGCACTTCAGTGGTTCACTAACAGTGAAACCTGCGCTGTCTCTGGCTCGGTGTGTCTTCCTCAGCGGTGCACATTGCAGAAAGTTGGAAGCAACGAGACGTGGTGAGTATCACGAACCAATCTTTGCCATTCTATGCTACTTTCAGTGCTAATGATCATCCTCAAAGTGCAAGTATCGCGGCATCCATCGGTGGTGACACCACTATTGTCCAGTTCAAGAAGTGGAATACGTACATCCTCGGACTTTGTGACAGTCTTACAGAGGGACAGTGGGTATGCGTAAGGTAAGGAGGACTTTGATCTACCTTATGTTATGATAAATGTGAAGTTGACTGACCAATTTTCCTGCATAGTTCCCCCGGCGTCAACGCTACATACACATTGCCTGCACCACCATTAGGCACAGAAGCCAATGCCAGAAATCAACAACGAGGAGGCGCCGGTGGCATAGTATCGGCTACGACCACCGCAACAGACATTGTCAACCCTGTGTCGGGAGGAACAGCCCCTAGCCCAACCCAAGACGGGCTTGTCACCAACGTAAGACGAAGCATTGACGACAAATCAACATGAAGACGCGAGACTAACTCTGAGATTTCCAGTGCAATAATTACGCAAGTGCTACTGCTGGAGACGGATGCGAGGCGTTTGCCACACGCAACTCGATTGCGCCAACACAGCTCTATGCATGGAACCCAGTTCTTGGCACTGCTGGCTCCGAATGCTCAACCGCTCTGTGGGCTAGTGAGTATTACTGCATCGGCACGTGGAAGCCAACCCAGACTTCTGCCGTAACTGCACCAGGTCCAACCCAGACTGGAATCACGTCTAGCTGCAACAAGTACGCAGAGGCGATCTCTGGTGACGTCTGTACCATCTTTGCCTCTCGAAACAACATCACCACCGCTCAGCTCTACGCTTGGAATAGCGTGCTGGGAGCCAACGGAGAGAACTGCGCTGGCTCCATGTGGGCGGACGAGTATTACTGTGTTGGTGTCTCCGGATCATCATCCGCAGCGACGACGACACAAGTAGCAACAACCACGGCTGCAGTCTCGACTACTGCTACTCAAGTCACAGCCCCTGGACCGACTCAAACTGGAATCGTCTCGAGCTGCTCCAAGTTTGCCAAGGCTCCGTCCGGAGTAGTCTGCGGCGACTTTGCGAGCAGCAATAGCATTTCAACCGATCAGTTGTATGCATGGAACACAGTCCTCGGTGCCAATGGAGAGAACTGCGCGTCTTCCATGTGGGCCAACGAGTACTACTGTGTCGGCATCACCGTGGCTGCCCCTGGCCCGACGCAAGATGGCATTAACTCTAACTGTGCTCGATATGCCGAAGCGCCTGCAGGTGCGACCTGCACCACGTTCTCGAGCGCCAATGAAGTCACTCTGGCTCAATTGTATGCTTGGAATCCGGTCTTGGGGGCAAATGGGGAGAATTGCGCCACAAAGATGTGGGCGCAGGAGTATTACTGCATCAGTGTTACTAAGTAATAGAACGCCATTCGACCTGTTCACCGAAGGCACCTTAATACGCAAGACCAGATGTCTTCAGTCAACGCTGAGATTAAGGTTCCACTTGAATGCTGGACCTAAAACTTTATCAAAGCTGATGTGATATTGCTGAAAGGGCAGGAAGCTCAAGCAGCTGTAGCTCGTGGTAATACTGCAGTACATCAACATCTGTGCTAATTCTCTGGAAGTAATGAAACTAGTCTTGCAGAAAGATAAAGTGAGCAGAGGACATTAAAGTATCATCCATGGCCTGCATGATAATTCACAAATACGATATCTTCTTTTCTTTTCTTTCCTTTTCTTTGTCTTATCTATCAGAACTTCACATTCTTTGAATCTCCCACAATCTTCGAGCTACAGGGCTCTTCATCTTATGTCCCCATGTCTTCATAGTCTCTCTGTGTTGGTATCCCTATTACAGGGTAATTGGTTCGAACCGTGGGTTGACGAAGAGATCAATTGAACTATATGAATTTCTGCGTAGGTGTAAAAAGGGGGTTCCAACCGTAGGTTGGGCTGGCTACGATAATCGTAAATAGGGCCCCCAATTGGCCCCTGCGCAGTCGGCCGTACGCCGCGGTCGAATTGGACTTCCAATCCGACACTCTGATTCCCAAATAGACATTCTACCTTGATCCATAAATTAGACAACAAAGGAGTAATCTACACAAAGATCAATGATTAATACCAGTTCTTGTTTAATTTAAGACTTCTATGTTTGAGAAGCCAGAGGCTGCCAAGCTTCAAGTCAATTGCTAAGAGCACTTGGAGGTGGTACACACACCCCACAAATGTGACTTCGACATGGTGAAAGTAGATAAAGCCTCACTTTTCATGTCATGCAAGTTCAGAAAAATCATTGGTCCACATGTCGTCGCATTCTTGGCTTGCATTTACTGTTAGTAGGTGGCGACAGGCTTTAAGCGCCTACACGTACGTTCCAACGAAAGAGGTGCATTCTCGGGCTGGTGAAAGGCCAGACATCCTGCCTACATCAGGCATCAATGGCGCAGCAGGTCGCATGTTCTTAGCCAGAATAACGGGCACGGGAAGATCAATAGGTATAGTTTTGCAGCAAAGCCCCCAATCCTAAGTCGGACTGAATTTTAAAGAAGGTGTGGCCTGACAATTTTCCTTTTGGAACGCCGCACGTTGAGATGGAACCTGCAGGAGGCCAACCATCTGCTGCAAGTTGCAGCAATCTGTGTCTCAGTACGCTATGAGACTACAAAACTACAATAACGCCTCGAGTTTGCGTCTTGGAATCTTTCCCATCTGCCTATCCTAATACCCAACGCTCAACCTCTGCTACTCTACAATCATCGCTATTCTCTCACGAAAGAGAAAAAACATGTCGGAACAGCAAGACGTCTACCGCATGTGCAGAGCACTATTCAAGGGGAAATCCAAAAAGCTGAAGAAGACGAGGATTCGCGAAATTCTCATTGAAAACCAGAGCGCTTTGCATCACCTTTTCACAAGCTATGGCGAGATCAGGCTTACCGCAATGATCCAGTCTCTCCTCAAAGCCGGAGCTTTCGAATCAGACCGTCGTGCCCAAGCTATGTTTCCCGAGCTATTCCAGACCACTCCACAGCAGGATGCGCAGAGAGAAGCATCTGAAGCCGACGCGGCAAAGTCTGTTGCTGAAATCTTGGGTGGTATGAGCCATGGCGAAGACATGGAGCCAGCGGAGCCAGTGGCGCCAACGGCACCAACTTCGTTAGCGTGGGGCTGGGAGGTTCCGCCTATGCCGGACCCGGATGATGAACTGCCAATACAAGACGCTGCCGCTTCTCAGACAAATTTTGAGACGAACTGTAGTAACGAAGGTATGTTGCAGATTGTAACGTGTTGAAAGCCAACATTGACGGATTTTCCAAATCTTTACAGCGCACTCCCGGACAGATCCCAAGATACCTTCCCTCTATCCAACATATCTCCCTTTCACCACTCAACATGCTATTCTTACAGCTTCTCAGAAGCTGCTCGAAGAATGTTGCTTCGATTTCGCAAAGAAGTGGTTCCCCGACGTGCTCCAAGGCAAAGGCTGGGAATGTGCGTCTGCGGTCGAGTTGACGAATTGGATCAAAATCTTCAACGCGGAGGTCCTCACGCTTCCCCCACAAGTTATCACCATGACAGACAAAACCATCAATGAGGTTTTTGCGCCGACCCATAAGTTACGACACACAGCAGTTCACAGATTGCCAACGACAGCCCGCGAAGTTATCCGACTGATCCGAGCAGGAGTAGAACTGACGGAGACTCTGCAAGACTTCACGCGGGCATCTCAGCTAGAGGATCTGATTCTTGAGGTCGACGAGAAGATCAAAACGATGGAGCTCACGAAAAATGTTTTGGAGGATCGTGCTGCCGCTCAGCTCGAGGATATCCGCCGGCAGCGAGAAGACCTTGATAGACAAGAACGCGAGTTTATCGAGAACATGATCAAGGAGGACCAGGAACACAAAGCTCTCCTTGGCAGCCTTCTTGAGACTGCTGTTGCTGAGATTCTGGAAAAGAAGAACGCCAAAAACCAGGTCTCCGATGAGGACGAGACTGATGGCCAGGATATCGACCTCGAAGTTGGCGAGATCACGAACAGGGATTCCGAAAGTTTGGAAAACAAGGATGACTCCAAAGATAGCAATGGGCTTTGGCGGAAACTAACAGATGCTTGGTCCGGAATGACTTTTGGTCCGAACAAAAAGTTTCTCTTTGGGGGTTTCTAGGGGTACGAAGAGTCGAATTAACACCACTTTGAGGCTTCTATTCGGGCTTGTTGGCAGTATGTTTTGCCGAGAGAATAATGATTGATCATCAAGCCAGAGACTGCAATCTTCAGCATGGGCGGAGAAGGATGTACATGTGTACTTAGTTTATTATGTTTTCTCTTGCTACATGTATTGAGGATATCGAAGTTGTGATTATCAGCTGAACTATTCCACCGCGGCCATCAAATCTTTGGGTCCGGCTAGTTCTCAGATAGAAGTGACGGGTAGCGACGCACGGCCTCCGAGGATGTCGTTCGCGCCTTACGGTGGGTGAGTGCTTTTGGACCTCGCGCTCACCGAGACCGCCGGCTGGCCGGAGGAAGAGTCTCGGAGGACCGACCCCGCACTAGGCCAAATCAAGAGTGATGCGGGGCTGTCAGAAACCAATCAAAAGAGTCAATCTCAAGATCCAAAGGTCAATGACCGTGCTTCATCAGATCGACCTTTTGGACCCCTCATTGATGTTGTGTTCCCCGTTTGCGGAATGCAAAAGATAAAGATAAAACCAAGGTCGATAGCCAGATGGAACCAAAGATACTCCAATACTGCAATTCTACGGTATTAAAGATACCCGGATGCCATAACCGGTCGCACATAAGCGGATGTCACGTGTGACGGACAGCAAGCAGCGGCCCCGCCGTCGCCACCTTCCCGACCCCCCCGGCCTTTCAAATTTTCGTCCCGGGCCAGAAGGAAGAGGAAAAAAAATATGGCGAAGGGCGTGGGGCAATCACGCAAAGGGCGCTTGCCATGCCGCTTTGCTAGCCGGCTCCTTTTGCGTTACCTTAGTCGAGTGGTCCCTACATCTAGCCGCCGCTCATTGTCACTGCCTTAACCTTTCTCTTTGACTGAACATACTTGCCGCGTTTCTGTTCCTAATACAATTCTGTCATTGGAATCCCCGGCCGACGATATGCCAAACATGAATGAGGAGCAGCCTCTGCTGGTCGAGGACCCCATCTGCGAGGAAGACATCTCGAAGCACTTGCTCGACTTTGATCCCAACGGCGATCCTGAGAACCCCAGGGAATGGCCCGCACCTTTCAAGTGGACTCTGGTCGCATTGCTGGCTCTCACCGCGTTCACGGTGTACGACAACCATCATACCTGATGTGTATTGCATCAAACATCTCGTGACCACATTTGAGCTGACATATGGCACAGCACTTTCACCTGCATCTCAGTCGTTCCTGTAGCCGCCCACATCATCCAAGACCTAGACCAGAATGAAGGCGCAAACTCACCGGCGAGCGCCCTGCTCGTCACAATCTGGGAGCTCGGTGAAGCCGCTGGCCCTCTCCTCATCGCGCCCCTTTCCGAGATCTACGGACGCTACCCCGTCATGAACGCCGCCAACATCCTCTTCATCATCGCCACCGTCCTCGCCGCTATCAGCACGAGCACCCCGCTCCTCATCGGCGCCCGCTGCCTTACTGGTCTTGCGGTCGCTTCTAATGTGTTGAACCCGGCCATCATTGGCGACATGTTCGTTCCGGACAACCGCGGCTCGGCGATGAGCATAGTATCCCTCGCCCCGCTCATCGGCGGTGCGGTCGGCCCCATGATTAGCGGCGCGATTGCGCAGACCCTCGGCTGGAGACAGGTTCTCTGGATGAGCGCTGGTTTGGCGACCGTGTGTGAGATCTTGTTCCTCACTTGCTTCCGGGAGACGTATAAGATGACCATCTTGAGACGACGTGCCGCGAAGCATGCGGACGAGCACGGGGCACCGCTTCACCCTGCCGGAGTTGATGACCACAAGAGCCTTATCAAGCTATGGGAGTCGATCAAGCGGCCTTTCTATGTCTTGCTCAGGTCAAATGTTCTGATGGGACTGTCGTTCTTTGGGTGCATAACTTTCGCCTACTTTTACGTCATGTCCATCAGCTTGCCTGTCATTCTCCAAGATGTGTATGGTTTCTCGCCTGCCCTCACTGGTCTCTCATTCATGTCCTTCAGTAAGTCCTACTATGAACTTTTGCACGATGCGTTTGTGTTCTAACGGTCACAGGTATCGGTTCATTCATCAGCGTCATCGTCAGCAACTTCAGCCTGGATAGGATCTACGTGAAGCTTCGTGGCAACGACCCCGTCGGACGTCCCGAGTACCGGCTCCCGCTCGTCATCATCGGCGCATTCACACTGCCCCTCTCCATCACCGCCTACGGCTGGATTGCGGAACTTCACCTTCCTGTCGGCCTTCTTCTCCTGTCGGTCGCGATGCTCGGCTTCACTCTTCTCATGGCCTCCCTTCCTCTCTCCGCCTACGTTGTCGACGCCACAGGCCTATACTCTGCTTCCGCCATGACTGGTGTCATCGTGACGAGATGCCTAGCTGGAACTTTCCTACCCCTTGCGAGCGGACCTATGGTGCAGTCTTTCGGTTATGGTTGGGGTTTCACTATGCTGGGAGCTTTCAGCATCTGCCTGGCGCCCATCCCGGTGGTTATCATGAGATACGGTCATGTTTGGCGCCAAAAGTCCGAATACACGAGAGATGCCTGAAGACGTCATGAGTTACGATACAACTATCATTAAAGCATATTGCCGGGAACGAAAAGTGATTTACAACGCGTTATTGCTATATACAGTTTGGGAGGGGGTTTCTACTTAACTTAGATTCGGCGTTATCGAGAGGCATATTTCAACAGCTTTGTGAATAGAATGAATTAATAGTCAATCATCATGCAGAAGCATTGTCAGGCTTGTTTTTGTTCCCACTCTTGGAAGGCCTCAATGGCTTCTGCTACCGAGTCCCGCCCCATCAACTCCATCCGATAATCCTCATCCATTAACCGCCACCCCGTCGGCGACAACCTGTCCGTCAGCGGTGCACCCGTCATCTCCGCATCGCGAGCCTCCTGCTCCGGCCCGTCACGAACATGATACCATTTCCGATTCGAAGTCGCGCCCTGCACGTTCAGCGTCGTCCGGTCTTTCCGAAGCGTCTCATATAGCTTTAAGATCCCGGGGATCTGTGGTACCATGTTTTCAGCCCCCGAGGAGTTCTTCAACAGACCAAAAAGCTTCCCAATCACGGCGCCGTCTTCAACAGCCATAGCTGCGCCTTGGGCTTGGTAGGGCAGACTTGGATGGCATGAATCACCCAGCAGAGCGAAGCAGCCCTTGGTCCACGTCTTCAACTCAGGATGCGTGCATAGCTTCCACTTTTGCACTCTCGGTATCAGCGAGATGAGCTTTGTCAATCTAAGCCAAGGATTAGTAGCCACACAGGATGCGTGGAATCTCACCTGGTAGCTTCTCAAGCAGCTAGAAACTTACGTATCATCCCATCCGCGATAACTTTCCCTCATCTCTTCGATATCACCCTGCACGCGCTTCTCTCCCGGCTCCATGTTATCCGGCCTGATGAGCACGAGGTTAAACTCCCGCCCTCCTCTGACGGGGTAGAACACGGTGTGTTTGTCGGGTCCCATCCACACCGTAGCCTGCTTCCGCGCACAAAGATCGTCGACCCGGGGATCATTCAGAGCTTTGAGATAGTCAAACGGAAACGTAGCGCGATACGCCAGATCCCCTGTCTCAACAGGCGGCGAAGCCGCTCCAAGAAGCTGGTCACGACAAATAGACCAAAGTCCTATCACGAACCGTCAGCGAAACAGCAACAAGCTCATAGCCAGCACATCTTACTCACCATCAGCACCAATAATCACATCCCCGCCGATATCATCCCCGTCCTCGAGATACACCCTCTTTTCATCAAAATCAATCCTCTCCACATCCATATCGAGACACAGATCCACACCAATCTCCTTGCACGTCTGCCACAGAATGTAATGCAAATCGGCCCGGTGCACAACCATCCACAGATCGCCGTACCGGACCTGCGCGTCCTTGGCCGAGAGCGTGTGCAGGTGCGCGCCGTCTGCGTACCTGCGGTACTCCATCCCGTCGATGACGACCCCGCATTGGAGGAGTTTGTCGAGGTAGCCTAATTGTCTTGCGATTCTGGTGCCGTTGGGTGGGAGCTGAAGACCTGCGCCGATCTAGAGAAATCTTAGCTTAGATAAACGAGTGTATCACTGAGAGCGGGAAAGGGAATCGTGAATGGCACTTCGGTGAGCTTACCGGGACCAGTCTATTCGCCCTCTCGAGAACGACCACCTCAAGCCCCTCTCTTCTACAGGCTATGGCGCAAGCGAGGCCGCCGAGACCTGCGCCGATGATGAGGACTCTCATATTGGCATTTGACCCTGGACGAGTAAAATTGCAGTCAGTTGGACCGGTGGCGGTCACCTTGGATCATTTTGTTATCATCTAGATTTACAGTCTGTCCTGTCCCATCACGTCCGTAGCCCACCCCCGCTACTTAAAGGGTCTTCGGCCTGAACCTGCATCATGCAGGAAACCCCGCGCCGGATCTCTGCCGCGCCCCACTACCGAACCGCTGAGTGTCATTCGCGCCGAACTCTGAGGGGCAAGTCATGCAGCGAGAACCAGTTTCTACGGAGTAAGAATCCCTTGAAAACCACCAATTTTTCGAAGGCTGGCGAAGTATCATCGGTAGACATCGCTTTCGGAGAAATCTGATTGGATAGGGGCTACCCTCGACGGCCTCGCGGGTTCTTACTTGCGGCCCGAGTCTGTTCACTCTGCCGCCCGACCTTGGATAACTGTTTCGCTGCTCCTTGAAAAAGTAAGCTAAGAAGGCAACCAAATGCCCACACGCTTTTGTCCTCCTGCGGTTCAGAACATCAATCGGAACGTCTGAGCTTGATCTGGTAATCGGAATACTCCTTTCGGGGCGGGGTTTCCCGAAGATGCCCATTACGACGAAATAAGAAAGTACGGTAAATCCCCTCCAGTAAGGGAATCAACACCTTCTGCCATCATCCCTTCGTCGGTACAAGCATCGGTGTCCTCGATTACTCATTCAACCTAGGTAAACCACCCCGGATTTCCCACTCTACTTTCTCGGTGACCTCTGGACTGGCATA